TAGCTGGGCATGGTGGCACGTGCCTGTAATCCCAGCTACTCAGGAGGCTGAGGCAGGAGAATTGCCTGAACCCAGGAGGCAGAGGTTGCGGTGAGCTGAGATCGCGCCATTGCACTCCAGCCTGGGTAACAAGAGCGAAACTCCCTCTCAAAAAAAAAAAAAAGCATAAACAACCAGGAGTTGGGAAGGCAGGTGCAAGGCCTTGCAGCTGTGAAGCTTTGAGCAAGTCCCTTCACTTTTCTGAGCTTACATTTTCCCATAGGGTTATTATGAGGATCACAGGACAGAAGTGGAGTCAAATACTTTGGAAACCATAAAGTACTGGAAAAATCAAGGTGTCCAGATTGTTACTAGGGTTTTAATAATAAAGGATGCATCCTCTAGACCTGCGTAATCCAATACGGTCACCACCAGCCACTTGTGACTATTTATTTACCTATTTATTTATTCTGAGACAGGGAGTCTCCCTCTGTTGCCCAGGCTGGAGTGCAGTGGTGCAATCTCGGCCCATTGCAACCTCCACCTCCCAGGTTCAAGCAATCTTCCTGCCTCAGCCTCCCAAGTAGCTGGGATTACCAGCATGTGCTTCCAAGCCCAGCTAATTTTTGAATTTTTAGTAGAGATGGGATTTCACTGTGTTGGCCAAGCAGGTCTCAAACTCCTGACCTCAAGTGATTGTCGTGGACCGTCCGGACGGGTAGGCACGTCTGCCCGGGGGTCTCTCGACCTGCAAGAGGGTCCCAATACCTGGAAGAGGGCGTGCGCCTGAGAAAATAATAAAGACAGAGAGAGAGAAAGCGAGGCGTCTGGAGGGCTGATAGGCTGTGCCTAAACAGCAAATTTTATTTTTCAAAGGCCAGGAATAAATACACTTTCTTGGCTCTGGTTTACGTCATAGTAAGAGGAATGTAAATGTATGCCTCACATGGCCTATACAATAGAGAAATCAGATACACAATGGTTGCAAGACGAAATGTAAATGTATACCTTACATGGCCTATACAATTGAAAAGTCAAATACACAATCAGTGGTTGTAAAAAGTAACAGAATTTCCTGTGATCACAAAGCTTGTTTACATCCAGACATTATTCCTCCTGGCTGCAGGTGTCTCTGGTTTTGCTTATCAGAATATCTCTTAACCGGATTCTCCTTCGTCTACTCCTAACTCAACTCAATTTCCTCATTCAGGAATCTCTGAGTCAGGAATCAAAGCCATCCCTTATGGTGGTATTTGCTTTGCAAATATCGACAGTTAAACCATTAGGCAGTCAGGTAAGTAAAGAAAAGGTTAAAACTTATTCTTAAAAGAGAGTCATAAAAAAGGTTAAAAAGCAGGAACTGGTTGCTGGTAGGGGGTCACTCGGTCTAGCAGCATAGTTTTAGGCCCAAACGATATTGTGGTTGATATTAGAAACTGATCAATCATCTTTCAGTTCCTATATTTCCGGATAGCTCGACTGCCTCCAGTAGGAAACTGTGTTTGGGATCAAACTCACCGTATAGTGAGACTCACGCCTTTTAGGGGTCTCACACGGGAGTGTTCCCCACATGAATCATTGTTTAATACATGTTTTTTGGTTGTTTTTTTTTGGTCTCCCAGGTTCAAGTGATTCTCCTGTCTCGGCCTCCCAGGTAGCTGAGATTACAGGTGCATCCCAATTAGGTGCATCATGCCCAACTAATTCTTGTATTTTTAGTAGAGACGGGGTTTCATCATGTTGGCCAGGCTGGCCTCACGCTGCTGACCTCAGCCTCAAGTGATCTGCCTGCCTCAGCCTCCCAACGTGCTGGGATTACAGGCGTGGGCCACCGCGCCTCGCCTCATCTTGCTTCTAACCTCCAAGTTGTCCTTGTTCATTCCTGGGTACAGGCTGAACTAACTTTGGGAGCAACTTAGTTTATAGTTTGAAACAAAGATGATAACAGCCCTTTCCCAAAACAGACTCCCTTCTTGCCTGGGGACTGGACTGCCTCTGTGCCTTTGTAGGACTAACAAATTAGCCAAACGATTATAAATTGTGCTTTAGGAGTCATGCGGCTGGAAGCTGCAGATTCTGACCCTCCCCACACTGCTCCTGAGGGTAACATCACTACTGTAAAGCCTAAGATCAGTGCTTGAGATATTTTGCAGCCCCTGCACTAGGATCACCTGGCACCACACAGATCAATAAATTGGCTCATCTGATCTTGTGGCCCCCACCTGGGAACTGACTCAGCGCAAGCGGATAGCTTCCATTCCGAATGATTTCATCTCTCACCCAACCAATCAGCACTCCTGACTCACTGGCAGCCCCCACCCACCAAATTATCCTTCAAAAATCTGATCCCTGAATGCTTGGGGAGACTGATTTGAGTAATAATAAAATTCCAGTCTCCCACACAGTCAGTTCTGCATGAATTGTTGTTTCTCTGTTGCAATTCCCCTGTCTTGATCAATTGGCTCTGTTTAGGTAGTGGATAAGGTGAACCCACTGGACAGTTACATGATCAAGAAATAACTGTAAGTATACTCAGTCAAGCAGCCCATACTGCTGCTCTGTGGAGTCGTTTTCCTTTTATTCCTTTATTTATTTATTTATTTATTTTTTGAGACAGAGTTTCCCTCTTGTTGCCCAGGCTGGAGTGCAGTCGCACGATCTTGGCTCACCACAACCTCCACCTCCTGGGTTCAGTACTTCTCCTGCCTCAGCCTCCTGAGTTGCTGGGATTACAGACATGTGCCACCACGCCCAGCTATTTTTTTGTACTTTTGGTAGAGACAGGGTTTCTCCATGTTGGTCAGGCTGGTCACTCCTGACCTCAGGTTGGTCACTCCTGACCTCAGGTGACCTCACACTTAAAATCCCAGCACTTTGGGAGGATAAGGCAGGCAGATCGCTTGAGGTCAGCAGTTTAAGACCAGCCTGGCCACCATAGTGAAACCGTCTCTACTAAAAATACAAAAATTAGCTAGATGTGGTGGCACATACCTCTAGTCCCAGCTACTCAGGACACTGAGGTAGGAAAATTGCTTGAACCCAGGAGGCAGAGGTTACATGAGCCAAGTCGGTGCCACTGCCCTCCAGCCTGGGTGACAGAACAAGAGTCCATCTCAAAAAAAAAAAATTATGGAGCAGGGTAAACTGTTGGGGTGGAGGATGGTGGTGTTTTCCACTACAGACAGGCTGTCCACTGACCTCATCCCCATCAGCCTGGCCTGAGATTGCCTGAAAGCCCCTTATGTGAGCACCTACTATGTACCAAGCATCTGCAAACCTGCACTCCAGTAGTTCCCTACAAGGCACCACCAGGGCAGTCAAGGGCAGAAGGGAACCATAGTAGGGACATAGTAAGAGGCAACAACAGAAGGGGCACTGGAGCTGGTTCTGCAGGATGCTCATAGCTGGCCAAGAGGAAGAGGATTCGCACCTGAGGAATGGTGTGTCGTGGGGAGGGGCACAGAGGCACAGGAAGGCAGGTGATGGGAGGACAAGACTGAGTGCCCATGAGCACAAAGCCTGCGTGTGGCCTGGGCAGCTCCCAGCTTCAGGGAGAGCCCATAGAGTGGAAGGTGGAGAGTGAGTGGGCAAGGAATTGGTGATAGATGCCAGAGCCAGAGGAGATGAGCTGGGAAAATGCTGGGCTGGAGAAGGATGTGAGTGCCAGCTCACATGGGAAATGGGGGATGGGGCTTGGGGGCTAGAGAACGAGGCAGGGCTTAGAGCCTTTAAGGGAGCTGGAGGGGGAGCAGCAGGTGATTGGGCAGAGGCCATAGGGGCTTGGGAAGGGGACCTGGCCAGTGTGGGACGAGAAGAGTAACAGAAAAAGGCGCATCCCACATCAGACTCATCCTGTAGCCACAGACACCCCCAGAGCAGCAGGGCCACCACCCCAGAGCCCCCATCCTGTCTTGCTGGCAGCACCGCCTCCCAGCCCTGCAGCCCCTCTAAGTCCCAGCCCAGGTGCCGGCAGGTCCCACCAGGGCAGGGTCAGCCCACCTGGCTGCACCTGGCCAAGGGGTGGGGCCCGGGTCTTGGCTGGAGCTAATTTGGAGCTGGGGCAGGGCTGAGAGAAACCCAGGTCTGCTTCAGCGATGTGCTCCCACCTCTCTATCTCTCTGAGCTGTTGAGGGGACTGGCCCAGGATCAAAGAGGAATGACCCCCCTTAGCACTCTTGAACCCAGCGGCTCAGGCCAAGCCACAAGGAAAACAGGTCATTCCCCGATTCCAAGTGGAAGAAGCCCCCTGGTCACTTCCTTCTCTCCAGGCTGCCGAGTCCCCTCATAAGGAGGTCTCATGCGACCCTTACATGGGGCTGCCACCACCATCTTGGATACCTTCAGGCTCAGGTAGTATCTGCCCAACAGGCTCCCCTCCCAGAGGGGGTGGGGCTTTAGGAGGCTTGCAAAAAGAGGGCAATGCCAGGCTGAGTGCAGGGGCTCATTCCTATAATCCCAGCAGTTTGGAATGCTGAGGTGGGAGGATTGCTTGAGGCCAGCCATTCAAGACCAGTCTGGGCAACATAGGAGACCCCCATCTCTATTAAAAGTAAGTAAAGGAGGCTGGGCGTGGTGGCTCAAGCCTGTAATCCCAGCACTTTGGGAGGCCGAGGCGGGTGGATCATGAGGTCAAGAGATCGAGACCATCCTGGTCAACATGGTGAAACCCCCGTCTCTATTAAAAATACAAAAAATTAGCTGGGCATGGTGGCGCGTGCCTGTAATCCCAGCTACTCAGGAGGCTGAGGCAGGAGAATTGCCTGAACCCAGGAGGCAGAGGTTGCGGTGAGCCGAGATCGCGCCATTGCACTCCAGCCTGAGTAACAAGAGCGAAACTCCGTCTCAAAAAAAAAAAAAAAAAAAAAAGTAAGGGTAATGCCTACCCCAAAGGAGGCTGGCAGCACCAATGTGGGAGTCCAGGCACCTGCAGGGGAGCACCGATGGGAAGAGAAGCCACTACCCATCCCTCTTCCCCACCACCGCACCCCTCTGCTCATCCTAAACAGAAATGAAGACAAAACAACTTCTTCAGGATTTATTGGGTCAGGGAAGGGCCTGGCCGGAGAATCTGTCCTGAGGTGTCCCTGCTGCTGCATTCCTGAGTTTCTCCCTGAGTTGTCTGCCACTCCTTGTCCAGCTGTGCCACCGTGGGGCTGATCCGTCAAGCACCTGGGTGCCCAGCTTGTCAAGTAATCTTGGGCCTATACTTTGCCCTCCCTGAGCCTCAGTCTCTCATCCTCCATGGGAGGATGTAACTTTCCTGTCAAAAGACAGGGCCGGGCCCACCCAGGGGCCGTTTCCACTCAGTATCATGGATTCTAGGGAAGCAGTCAGGGTTCGGGTCCTGCCTAGCTGTGACTCACTGCAGCCACTGCTTCTTGAAGCTTTTGTCTCTAAGCTTCCATCCGGCTCAAAACCACTCAGATGCCAGGGTCTCTGGACCCCAGGGAGTCAGGCATCCACATCCCCTGGCAGGAGTGGGAGGTTGACATGAAGCAGGAGGAGGCCGATGCACAGGCCAGGTACCAGCGTGTGGTCAGGAGGAGCTGGGCTTTCCCACTGATGGGTAGAGCTTTCGCAGGCTGGAGTCCAGGAGGAAGTCCACCGACCTGTAGGCAGGGAGAGGCTGGTGAGCAGGTGGCCGGGGTGTCCATGAGGGAATAGAAGGCAGGTCAGGGATTAGAGAAAGGGATGCTTAGATGCAGGATACAAATGCTACCCAGGCAGAGACCCACCCATATCCTGATCCTCCCACCTTGAGCTACTTGGAGAAGCTAGAATCAAACTCCCAGAATGGAAGCCATCGTCTTCTTTATTCAGGAGGAAACTGAGGCACTGGGTAAAAGACTTGCTCAGGGCCTCAGGGTCAGCTATTTTCTCCTGGAGAAAGACTCCTCTCACTCTTATGTTGGTCTGGTTGGGTTGACGCCATCTCTGGTTCTAAGACCAAACATGTGACCCAAGCTTGGCCAATCAACAAAGGGAAACTGGCTCTGGGGGTGGGCCTGCAGTCCAGGATAAACCAATGACACCCTTCCTTGGGATTTTCGTTGTTACTATTTAAAGGCTTCTGTTCGGGGAGGCTAAGCTGGTGAGACAGAAGTCGGGAGCTACTAGGGCCATTTCTGCTCCCACAAGGAGAAAGCGGGTGAAGCCAGCACGAAATAGGGTGGGATGGGGAGAAAGGCAGCAGGATGGGGAGACCCAGACCCCTAGTGACATCATCTGGGTACCTAGACCCAGCCATGCCTCAATGCAACACAACCCTGGACTTCTATTCCATTTTATTCAAACATTCAGTTTGAGTTAGGCTTCTGTCACCAATACCTCCTGAAATGCATCCCTTCCAAGGTGCCCCGCTCCTGCCTGCCTCTGGTGGTTTTGTAACACTAGGCTTTCTTTCCAGGAATTTACTTGTCCTGTGTCCCATACCCTCAAGGCATCCCTCTTCCTTCATTGCCAAAGTACCTGCCAGACCATATGACAAGGGTACAGGCTGTCCGTCCTTTCTATCCCAGAAGCCAAGTGCCAGCCTTGTCCCTGCTATTGTTCTGGCAAAGTGGGCAGGCCCCACGCCTCGTAAAGTCTACCTCTGCCTGGAGTGTGGATGAACCCTGAGGCCAGGAAGGCACCCACCTGTCAATGGGGTGGATAATGACGGGGATGGTCAACAGCCCAAGCGCGGTGGTGGTCCACTTGCGGACAGCCAGGGGCCAGCGGGTGGCAGTGCCCAGGACATAGAGAGAGGCGGCACACACGCGGTTGATGGTGAAGCCCGGAATGGCCACAGAGGCCAAAGCCTGCCATACAAAGGTGTCCACCACAGCCACTGTCACTCTGGCGCTGCGGCCTGCTTCAGGGCCTGGCACCTAGTGGACGCAGAGACACTTAATCTAGCTGGGGCAGAGGCAGGAAATCCTGTGACAAGGAGCATGAGGCTAGACCCGGAGGGGCCAGTAGACTTGTCCACACCCAGGAGTAGGGTATAGTCTGCGACATCCAGGGAGTGGGAGTGTGGGGGTGGGGATACACTGTCCTACACACAGGGACTGACAACGGACTGCACTGGGCAAGTCTGTAGGGACTGGAGTGGCCCACAGGGACTTTATCACATGCAAGGCTGTGGACTGAACCACACAGGAAGAGAGCTGGGGTGGGGGTTGAAAAATAGGCTAACACTCACCTCTCCAGCCTTCTTGCCTTTGTCAATGGCATCCGCCAGCACGTAGGAGCTGGCCACGCCGTAGCTCAGCCACACCACTGCCGCTGGCACAAGGGAGCGGAACGCCTCGCCCACCTCATTGGCATAGCCTGGAGGAGGGGAGATTTAATTCCTAGGTCCACGAGCTGTTCCACGAGGGGGCGCTGGAGCAGGCTGGTTCTCATCCTGGCCAACTAAGCAGTCCCTGGGTGACCTTAGGCAAATGACTTGACCTCTCTGGGCCTCCCTTTCCGAACTGTAAACTGGTGCCATGATGCCCACCTCCGACCTTGGGCCACCAAGGGAGGGCTGAGCACGGAGTCACTGTCACCAGTGCTTATTGGTTAGATTTCCTGGCCTCAGTCCCAGGAGTAACTGCACTAATGAGGTGACAGGCACCCGGAGGGGCAGAGTGATCGAGGGCCGGACCCTCGCCAAGTGCCAGGCTTTCCTGCGCTTTACCCATTCCACCCTCGAAACCACCACCCAATGAGTGAGGACCCCATGTGCATCCGGTCTGTTTTTTGCTTTTTGTCTTTTTGCTGAGGAGGAAACGGGTTCAGACACAGCCAGTGCGTGTCAAGACGGACATGGGGGTGGAGGTCCCGACTCCACAACCAGCCAGAGCGCACGCCGGAGCGGGCAGCCCGTTCACTCCGTGTGATCTTCCAGCCCGGGCGGCCCACCAGGGTAGTGTGACCTTGGACAAGTCCCTAGCCCTGCCTGAGATCAGTCTCCGGCCCAAAAACAGAATGAGAACTAAGATCCTCCCGCCTCCTCCGGGCCCCGGCCGGCGTCCGGCGACCCCCGCTTCCCCAGCCCGGTGGTGGTGGGGTCGCCGCGCCCGTCGCCTCGCGCTCACCCAGGTATCGCACCCACGTGTCCCGGTAGAGATCGAGCTCGGCGCCCCGCGGCTGCGGCTCTGACATGACTCTCCCGCCACGGCCACGGCCACGGCCACTGCAGCCGTTACTGGCTTCACTGCCGTCTCGGCCGCGGGCACTTGGGTCGGCCCGGCTGGGACCCGCCGAAAGTCCCGCGCTGAAGGACAGGTCGGGCCGTCTCCGCCAGCAGGGAGCGTCTGCAAATTCCCCTGCGCACCGAAGCCCCTCTCCTAGGCTAGAGTTTGACGGACTAGTTTTTGTCACGTTTTCTCTGAGCGATTGCGGCGAACCGCTCCTAGGACTGAGTGTAGGTTTTGGAGCCAAAGAGACAGGAGACCAAAGCTGGTGACCTCGGGCAACAGTCTGCTTCTCCAGCCTCTCTTTATTCATTTGTAAACACGAGGGAGGGACACGCGCTGGGCGTGTGGGCTCAGGTCCGTGATCCCAACACTTTGGAGGGGCCGGAGGCGAGAGGACTGTTTGAGTACAGGGGTTCGAGAACAGCCTGGGCAACATAGCGTGACCTCGTCTCTACAAATAATAATGTAATAAATAAAATGGGGGACACAATAGTGTCCACTCCCTAGGATGGTTCCGAGGATTAATGATAACAGTCACCATTTATTGTTTATTGCCAGTCTGGATGTTCGCTAAATAATTCTGCATGGCTAACACCTTTAAACCCCTCCCCCCAGACTGGCATCCCGTTTTACAAGTTAGAAAATGGAAGCACAGAGAAGGAGGGTCACTTTCCCAGAACACACAGCTGCTAAGTGGTGAAGTCAGGATTTGAATCCAAACAGTGTGGATCCAGATCTCAGGCTCTTAACGCGAGCTCAGTAAATGAGGCCAAAGGCGTGAACGGTGAGCGCCTGGAAGGTGGGTGCCTGGACTCTGCAGTCCCTTCTCAGCAGGCGCCATATATAGCTGGGAAGCGCTCGGATCTAACTGGATTCAGTGTGTCCTCTGACTGAGCCTCTCGGAGACAGGATGTTGAATGAATGGGTGAACGAATGAATGAACGAATCGGGCAAGGTTAGTGATTACAACAGGAGGAAACCTTCCCCTGCTGGACCTCAGTTTACCCAGGTGGGCAATGTGTGCACTTCACTAGGTCTCTGTGACTCCCTGGCTTGTATAACTGAGCGGCGTTGGAGACAATCCTGGGTTCAAATCCCAGCCGTGCCGCCTATTGGCTGTTAGCCTTCCTGAAATCCAGTTCCCACGACTGCAAATAAATGAGAGCAGCCAACACTGAGGAGCACTTACTTATGCCAAGCTGTTAAGCGCTTTGCACTGCTTATTTCCTTTAATCTTTGCAACGACCCGAAGAATAATAGTAAGCACAGGGTTTTTGCATGATACCCGGCAGCCCTCATTAAGAGTTAGCTCTTATTCTCATCAGATAAAGGTAGGGAAAATGAGTAACCCTGACTCCCTATTGAGACCCCCACTTTCAGCCCTAGGCGCCTCAGTCTTGTAGCGCCGTATGGGACAGTCCGGTCAGCAGTTACCTCCAGCGGAGCTGGGCTTGTAGTGTGGGGCCGGGGGCCGAAGAGGCGAGTGGTTTGTTCGTGGGAGAAAGGTTTGTGCGGATGCAGCGGTCCCCAGCCCCTGAAACACACGCCATATTGGCGTGGAATTATTAGACAGTCCCTAAAACCACGTGACTGCTGCTCCTCCGCCTCCGCCTCCCTCTCACTCTGGGCCCACCGCAAGCTCCGCGGGCACTCGCTTCGACTCACACTTGGCGCGCACGGGCGACGCGGCACGTACTGAGCAGCTGGTGGGGCGGGGCCTCCGCCCTCATTGTGAAGGCGGTCAGGAGCGTCCTTCATGCCCTGATCAAAGATGGCGGAAGAGCCCCTGCCCACTGGGCCAATCAGAAGGCAAGCTGGACGCGGCCCGATGGGAAAGCTCCTGCTGGGGAGCCGAAGAGGGTTTCTGCGCTTGCGCCCTACGTAGTGGCCGCCGCTGGGCTCTTGAGGCCGCTTAAGTTTGGGCCTCTTGAGTGAGAGGCGGCGAGGACGCAAGCGGTGGGCATTGAATTTCACTCCCTGCGCACTGAATGTCGCTTTATTCGTCGGTTAATTTTCCTAACAGCACGGTAAACCCAGGCCGGGAGGCCCTCCTGAGCGGTCTGGCAGAGGCCGGTGCAGCCTCGGCCCCTTCCGGTCCGCGCTCCCTCGGCCTCGCAAGACGAGCTTCCCAGGCGGGGCCGGGGCCTGGCCCTGCGGGAAAGACGTTCCCGCCGGGTCTGGGGCCGCCTTCCCGTGTTCCTGTGCAGCCCAGCACCTGGCACTCGTTGGCTGGGCGCGTGCGGTCGGGGTACGGGCTGTGGCTTCGAGGCCGACTGTGGCCGCCCCCAGCCCCAGGTGTGCGCGACGCCGGCCCCGCCCTTGGGCGGCCTCCCCGCCTGGCGGCGCCCACCGGCGTCTGAGCTCCCTGCGGTCCGTTGCGTGCCTCCCGCAGAGATGGGACTGCTGAGACCTTGCTCAGGTCAGTCCGGAAGCGGGTTGGCGGGCGCCGCGGGACACTCGGGCTGGAGACACCCTCCCCGAGTGCCGCTCTCCGGACCCCACTTAGCAGCTTGTCTCTGGGTCGCTCCCTTGGAGGATCCCCTTTGTCATTCGCTCCCGCCCCCCGCCTCCCTGCCCGCCCCCCGCAGCTGTGACCCCCCGGGGGCAGGGAGAACCGCGGATGGGCACCCGAAGCCCCGGGAGGCTCTGAGTCACTGGCAGTCATTAGTAGTCAGAGAGGCGGGCCGTGCGGCCCGGGAGTTGCCCGAGTTCTCAAAGTGCGGGGGAAGCCAGCCTGTCTACCCCTGAGTGGGACGATCTGTGCTGACTCAGGCCACCTCCTGAGACCTGGGAAAAGCCAAAAGCTCCCCCAGCCTCAAGGCTGACAGGTTTGGAAGAGCCTCTCATCCCCACCGGAACTCTAGCAACCAGCTACTCGGCTACTCCTCACTGCGATCTAAACTTAAACGTGTTCACTTAGAAGCAAGTTTCTCCCTGGCAGCTGGCTTCGCTGAAGTGTTAAGTCCCAGCCTTTCCCCCTTTTCTAATGTTTTTCCCGACTGCCACCCTGTGGTACACCCCCCCCCCCCCCTTATATTTGCTGTCCCGGGACAGGTGAAGTTGGCACACTTTACAGGACAGACAGATTCTGTCACAATGGCCAGCCCTGGGGACTCCTTAGGAATTTGAGAGACAAGGAGACCCCCTTCAGTCACCCTTCCTCTTCCTCTGCCTAACTCTGAAATGAAAGATCCCCAGATCCAGCCTGAGGTCTGTCCTCCAGCCCAGTTTCTTTGGGCTTCAGGGTTGTGCGAAAATGACTGCTGCAAGGGGTAGAAGTTGACAGGGAGACACTTGAGGGGGCCAGGCCTGCTGTAGGAGAAGGCGTTATTTTGGGGAGCCTGTCCCCAGCTGTTTCATCTTCTCTTCTGAGGCTTTGTCTGGAAGCAGGACCTCCACAGTGAAACTGACCTTCTTGGCATGAATGAAGCTGTAGGTGTTGTCAAACCGCAGGACATCTAAGGGGAGGCAGAAACCAGACATTCAGGCAGTTCGGACAAAGGGCTTGGGGACAGCGATTTTTGATGTTTATTGACTGAGCAAGGCAGTGTGCCGGGTGATGGGGATGAAGGTGGCATAGGTAATGATCCTTGACCTTCTGAAACTTAATCTAGCTGGGTTGACAAGACATTCATGGAGAGAAAAAAACAGGGAGAACATGCCAAGTGCCAGATGAGTGACAGAGACCATCTCATCTGTACAGCTTGGAAGAAGAGGGCCTGGTAGACTGAAATCATGTGAAATGCTTTTTAGAGCAGTTAGAGCTTGAACTGGGCTTTGAAAGGAGGGAGGAGAATGAGCAGTAGCAGCACCAGTTGTAATAATAATAACAGCTCTGTGTCACAGCACTGGGTTGGTAATCTGTGTTATCTCACTCTTCCCCCCAAATTTGTGAGTTCAGCATTAGTCAGTCCTCTTTTATGTCTGATAAAAAGGTGGTGAGACCCTTGTGCCACACAGTGAGGAAATGACAGAGTTGGAGTTTCCGTCTGGTCCACATTGCTGCCTTTGTGCTGCCTGACTTAGACCCTGGAAAACCTGTCTCTGTTCAGTTTCCTACAAATGGTAAAATGTGCGAACTTGCTGAATCAGGAATTTATCCTGCAAAAAGATAAATGGACAAAGATGCTCATCGCATCCCTATTTGTGATAATAAGAGATTGGGAAACCTCAAATGTTCATCAAAGGAGAATTGCTTCAACAATTTTATACTGTAATCCATATGATAGAATAGTGATGTATTTTTTAAGAAGGAGGTTAGCTCCATAGAAGTGACAGGAAACCGTCCACAGTATATCCTGAGGCCAAAAAAGCAAGCTGCAGAACAGTTTTAAACAATTTGTAACATTTTTGTAAATACATATGTGAAAATACTTTTGGCTTTACTGCTTAATCTGTTTCGACTCCCAGATTCTCTGATGATACCCCTCTGGTGCTTGTCCTAAAGGGAAAGTTTCCTCAAATCCTGTGATGAGTTTCACTGTTTCAAAATTCCTTCAAACATACAGTGAATGGCAGACCATTCCTGTTAATATATGTGTGTGTGTATGTCCTATTTTCTATTTAAGATAATCTGATTGTCATCCTCACACAAGGGGCCATGCTAATCTCTGTATTGTTTCAATTTTAGTACTTCTGCTGACGAAGCGAACACTGTATGCCCAGTTCGTTATGGAAACATAAAGCTTTTAGATGGAAGGTATCTGGTAGAATAATAGACATTAGCAGTGGTTTTCTCTGGAGAGAGAAAGTGGGCATGCACTTGGCAGAGAAAGCTTCCACACTTTGGCAGAGGAACAGGCTGCTTTTAATCTAACCCTGTTTCTTTGAGAAGTTGTTCCATTTCAGCCAAACACCCGTTCAGGAGAACTGAGTGTGAAAACAAAAACACTGGCTCTGCCCCGTCCCTACCCTGATCTTCTCTCACTATTCCCAGCAATTAAAAAATATCCTGTATTTAATCCTAAAACTTAACCTTTTCCTGACTCTGGACAAAATGCATAGTTTAGACCAAGGGTAGACACACCACCCACTCCTTCCTCATGGTATAAAGTGTTAGTCATCTGTTTTTCCTCTGTACTAGAGTTCTTTCAGGGCTAATAGTTCCTCTGGCAAGAGTGAAGCTTCATCTCTGTCCTGGATAATAGAGCCTTAGCAACCAGGATCATCCTTCCTGGAGGGGAGGTCCTTTGCATTCTTTGGACCAAGTAGTAGGTCGATAATGGTGCTGCCTAGCAAGATACTTGGCCTCAGAAACAAGAAAGAGGTTGACGGAGAGGCACAGGCCCAAGGGAAGTGAAGTCACTGCAGCTCCAGAGTCTGTATGGTTCATTTTGACACTAATCATGGACTCACAGAGCCCCTAGAGACCCTCCAGGCTAAGGCTCCTTAACTTTAGTTGGGTAACTGACCCCCCGGAGAATATGAGGAAAGCACACAATTTTAGATTTCCTGGAGCCCATTGTAGACCCTCTGGGGCTGTGGTTCCCAATGGGAAAGGTACAACCTTACGCTCATTTATGTATTGAAACAATATATATTCTAAATTAGTTCCCTTTTATATCTCTTCTATTACAGTGGGAGATTATGTTGAGTTTTAAATTATGTGTGTAGGTAGGATGGGTTATATTTTTGGATTATAATATTCAGAATTTATTTTGAATTTCACTTCAGAATAGTAAAGGGGACATTTTAGACACTATTTGTTGTAAAGAGGAAGTGTTTGGGTCTTTAGGATTTAGCACCAATGCTCTGGGGAACCCCAGATTAAGAGTCTCTCTCTGTCGCCCAGGCTGGAGTGCAGTGGTGTAATTTTGGCTCATTGTAACCTCCGCCTCCCGGCTTCAAGCAGTTCTCATGCCAAGTAGCTGGGATCATCACACGTGCCACCACACCCGGCTTATTTTTGTATTTTTTAGTAGAGACGGGGTTTTGCCATGTTTGCCAGACTGGTCTCAAACTCCTGGCCTCAAGTGATCCACATGCCTTGACCTCCCCAAATGCTGGCATTACTGGCATGAGCTACCACGCCCATTCAGCTCTTCTGTTACTTTAAGGAGAAGGAAAACCAAACCTAATAGAGACACTTGCTGAAAACACTGGGAGAGTTATTGGCAAAGCTGGACTCAGAAACCAGGTCTCCTGGTGCCTGGCTGGGCTCTTTTCACCAGTACTGCTGACCCTTCCTACAGCGTTTCCAGCCTTCTGACCACATTGTGTACTTCCAGTGGACAACGTCCAGGTCTTTCCTTCCGAGTCTTTGCATTCCTAGTTGCGTATTCTGTACTCAGTAGGCCCTTGGTAAATGTTAGGTGAGAACACAAAAGTGAAATCAATTCAAACTTTTGTTCTCCTCCCTGATAATTTAATTTCCTGGGATAAGGACCAGAGAAGCCTGGGGAAGGTTAATGTACTCTTGCCATTGGAGGCTGGCACAGTTTTCATTTCTCCGCTGCATGACTGTTCCACTTTCCAGGGGTCTCCTGGTTCTCCAAGGTCATTGCCCTCCCACAGGTGAGCCTCCAAGCTACTACTGGGTTCTCTGGGTTCACATCTAACCTTAGCTGTGGTGCCAGGTAACAGCTGGTTCCTACTTCATTGTCTTTATACCTGGGAAGGGGGAATGGGTCCTGTGGCCTGACTCTGCTCTTCTTGGCAATGGGCAAGGAGCAGATCCCAGACAAGGCCCTGCAGGCAGGTAATGGTTCTGTATGGGAATGTGTGCAGAAGGAGCTAAAATAAATTTGGGGGTTTGCAAACTGAAGCCTGATTATGTTAAAAGGTTCACGTACCCTTCTTGGACAGTGTCCTTCAGATACTAAAGAGAAGATAAGAGTGGTAATGGGTAGATGCTAGAAAAAGGTTTGGGGCTCTCCTACTGCCTTTGTGACCTTGAGTAAATTACTTCCCTGGTGTGGGATTCCACTCTTTCACATCAAGGACAGTCAATGCCCAAAAGGTTCTGAATCAGGACTCTAGGATTCTCTTGTGTCTTCTGTCTTGATGTTTACACAAGCTACTTTATAGGAGAGATAACATCCCTCCTCTATACCCCAGCTTCCCCATCCATTAAAAAAAAAATTCGGGCCGGGCACGGTGGCTCAAGCCTGTAATCCCAGCACTTTGGGAGGCCGAGGCGGGTGGATCACAAGGTCAAGAGATCGAGACCATCCTGGTCAACATGGTGAAACCCCGTCTCTACTAAAAATACAAAAAAATCAGCTGGGCATGGCGGTGCGTGCCTGTAATCCCAGCTACTCAGGAGGCTGAGGCAGGAGAATTGCCTGAACCCAGGAGGCGGAGGTTGCGGTGAGCCGAGATCGCGCCATTGCACTCCAGCCTGGGTAACAAGAGCGAAACTCCGTCTCAAAAAAAAAAAAAAAAAAAAAATTCAAGGCTGGGCATGGTGACTCATGCTGGTAATCTCAGCACTTTGGGAGGCCAAGGTGGGAGGGTTGCTTGAGCCCAGGAGGTTCGAGACTCCAGCCTGGGCAACACAGCGATACCTCATCTCTACTAAAACAAAGAAACAGACAAAAAAATTCAAGCTTATATGTATGAAGTGCTTTCTCCTCTGTGGGTGACATTGTCTGGACTGTGCTAAGCCTTGGTCTTGCTGAAGCGCACAGTATACGCCTTCTCCCCCAGGACCCAGCTGCTCATTAGTAAGAATAGTCCCCCCTCCCCAGGGAGCTATGTTGTACCACAGAGCATCTGTGAGGAGGGGGTGGTGGAGATGAAGGATGCCTGGGATGTGAGGAAGGAGGCAAAATCTCAGGTTGGGTGACAGTGTGGATAAGCACAGAGGACGAGACATCTGTGGGGCTAGTTCAGATCTTCTGGTGGTGCTGGTACTGCCGTAGAAATGGGGCACAGGGCTTCTCCCATCTCCCGGCATTGTCTCCAGGATGACCCTTCTCCCACACGCCTTGTCCTAATGATAATAGTGGTGACTACAGTGCATTGAGTGCTTGCTCTATGCCAGGCATTATGTTAAGCGCCTCACAGAACTTAGCACATTGAATCATCCAGTATCCCTGTGAGATATCCCCAGTGTAGCAGTCAGGAAACTGAAGATTAGGTTTTGTCATTTGCCTAAGGCCATGCAGCTAGTCTTTAGTCAAGTCCAGCTCAGCTCTGACCATAAAGCCTGTGCCGTCAATGATTTTCCATTGGCTCTGACAAAAAGGAACTGGAGATTTGATTGTGGATGTTGAGGAGGGTGTAGGTATGGCTTTTCTGCTTATAAATGTAAAATTAATACATAGTCATCGTAAAATATATTTGCAGAAATACTGTAAAAATGAAAGCCCTCCATAAACATCCGGTCACCCCATAGATAACCACTTTTAGAGTTAGCATAGATTCCCCAGAATTCTTTTCTGTCTACACGCTTCTTTAACCAAAGTGAGTACATACCATACATGCTGTGTTTCATGCTTATTGAACATGTCTCAGACACCTTACATGTCAGTTTATTCTCTTTAACATTGTATGGATGCACTGTAATTTACTTAACAGACCTTATTATGGTCATATGGTTTACTGCCACTTTCCCAGGCTGCTGGAAACATCCTTGTTCCTATATCCTTGTGTATTTCTGTTAAATTTTCAGAATTAGAATTGCTGAGTCAAGGGGAATTTTAATGGATATTACAAAGTTAAGAGAAGTTAAGCACCTTTTCCAATGTCTGTTTGCCATTCTTTTTTTTTTTTTTTTTTTTTTTTTGGAGTGCGGTGGCACACTCTGGGCTCACTACAACCTCCACCTCCCAGGTTCAAGTCATTCTCTTGCCTCAGCCTCACAAGTAGCTGGGACTACAGGCACGTGCCACCATGCCCGGCTAATTTATTGTATCTTTAGTAGAGACCAGGTTTCACTGTGTTAGCCAGGATGGTCTCCATCTCCTGACCTTGTGATGCACCTGCCTCGGCCTCCCAAAGTGCTGGAATTACAGGCGTGAGCCACCGCGGCTGGCCTCATTCTTATATTTTTGTGTAAACTGCCTGTTCATAATCTGTGTTCGTTCCTTGGTGAGCCTGGAGATGAGTGAAACTCAGGTGAAGGATGGACTTTTGAGCCCTCCGCTTACCTTGCAATTCCGTGCTCACCCAGCCAGTTCTGCTTCTGTGACCTATGGGTAGGAACATCCCCAAGAAATATCTGGCCAGTCACAGACCCAGTTAGACCTGGACAAGAAGTCAGAAGTGTTGAACCCCTGTGATGGCCTAGGACTGTAATTCATCCATACCTGAAAGTATGAGGTCAAAGTCCCACTTTGCTGCTAACCAGCTGGGTCACCATAAACAAGTCATTTCACCTCTCCAAGCCTAGGTTTCTTCATCTATGCAAGGAGAGGGTTGAACTGATGGCATCCCACTTCTCGTTCTAACACTCTGAGAACCAAAAATCCATGGAGGAAGAGGAACCTCACAGGCAGAAAGCTGGACATGGGGCTTCAAGGTATTGCCAAGGCAGAGATACTTACAGATGCCAGGATCACTGCAGGTGAGGGTCCCATCTTCAGGGACCAGATGGGAATTGTACCTCTGGTTGGGCAGTACCTCTGTCATCTCCCCTGCCCGCTGTCTCTCCCCCATCTTGGTCTTCAGGAAAATCCCAAAACCAACATCTGCTCCATCTGACATAAACTGCCACCTGCAGGGGACATCACCAGTTTAGACATCATTCTGTCTGCATGTACCCTCCCGGGTTCCTGGAACCAGGGCTTGTCCTACCCCAACCCACCCATTAGGACCTATAGATGAAAGCTCAGGTCTCCTGGAAGAGCCCAGGCCCCTACCTGAGGACACAGCCAGGAAAGAGGATCTCATACTCCACTTGGTGGGAGGAGCCACGGGAAATCTGCACACTGTGTTCATACTGCTGTTTCAGCTGGTCTCGAACATAATACTTCTTGGGGATGTCACCCCCATAGTTGATCTAGAAGCATGGCATGGAGTGAACTGGAATGTGCATTTGAGCCAGGTATCCCTGTTCACCTCCAGCCTCTGGCGGCCCATACCTTGGATTTGCACTTGGGGTTTCCGTCAGGGTCAGTCATGGTGCCCCCATACTCCACAGGCACCTGGTCAGGGCTGATATGTTTCAGTAAAACCTCCTTCCAATTTGCTGGCAGGAGAGGGAAGGAAGGATAAAAATGTATCTCAATGCTAGGTAAGATTTCACCATAACCCTAGTGGTCTACACTAAAGGCAGAAAAAAGTCCATGCACCACACTCCCTACCACTCTGCCTCAAATTCCTGCATTAGGGGTACTGCAGGGGATTCAGTAGGAGCCAGAGGATGCTCTGTCCCAGGCCAGGAATCAGGAGGAGATCCTGGTTCCTGTTCTCATTGTGTCTGAACAGCTAAGTGACTTTATTCTTGCCCCTCTGGGTTATGGGGGGAGTGAAAAGACCTAAGTACTTGACAGGGCTTTTTTTTTTTTTTTCTTTCTTTTCTTTTTTTTTTTTTTTTTTTTTTTTTTGAGACGGAGTTTTGCTCTTGTTACCCAGGCTGGAGTGCAATGGCGCGATCTCAGCTCACCGCAACCTCCGCCTCCTGGGCTCAGGCAATTCTCCTGCCTCAGCCTCCTGAGTAGCTGGGATTACAGGCACGCACCACCACGCCCAGCTAGTTTTTTGTATTTTTAGTAGAGACGGGGTTTCACCATGTTGACCAGGATGGTCTCGATCTTTCGACCTCGTGATCCACCCGCCTCGGCCTCCCAAAGTGCTGGGATTACAGGCTTGAGCCACCGCGCCCGGCCTCTTTTTTTTTTTTTTTTGAGACAGAATCTCACCCTATTGCCCAGGCCGTAGTGCAGTGGCACGACCTCGGCTCACTGCAATCTCCACCTCCCAGGTTCAAGCAGTTCTGCCTGAGCCTCCCAAGTAACTGGCTCCCAAGTACCTGGGACTATAGGCACCCGCCACCATGCCCAGCTACTTTTTTGTATTTTTAGTAGAGACGGAGTTTCACCGTGTTGGTGAGGCTGATCTCGAACTCCTGACTTCAGATGATCCACTCACCTCGGCCTCCCAAAGTGCTGGTATTACAGGCCTGCGCCACCATGTCTGGCCCAGAGGGCTTTTTAAACCATAAAGTGCCTTACACACGTAAGAGTATGTTATTACCCCAGGGAGGTGATACATTGAAGTACAGCAGGAGTGGGGATAAAGGAAGGGGAGAAGGGCATTCCATGTAGAGGGAACAGCTTGTGTGGTGGGCAGAAAGGCCTGAATGCACATACCCTGTCCTGATGAGACTGAACCTTGTGAGGGTAGAACTGTGTGTCTTTCCCCCACCTTCCCCTACAGCTAAGTCATAACTTCATAAATAAATGCATTTCTCTAGGGTGACCCCTTAAATGGATTCCTTGGCTTTACCCCAGCCACCATTTAACTTCTGCTCCTGATGTTTTCAGCTGTTGGGCCACCAGTGATTTGGCTCTTTTTTTATTTTTTATTTTTTTTAGCCAAGCTCTTTCCTGTCTAGGAGAGTTTGACTATAGCACAGCCAGTGCTAAAACCACTTCTCCACCAGTGCAAATTCATAAATATCAGCCAGGAACAATATTTTGATACTAAAACCTGTCTACTATGTCGAACATATGTAGGCAGCAGCTCCAGGCTCTGGGGTACAAGCCAGTGGCATGCTGGCTGGAAACCCACAGAAACTGTCCAAAGTCTGCCAGCCTTCAGAGTTTTAGGGACCAAAGACCATGCAACTCCTGGGAAAACTGTGTCTGTTTTTCTTGGGGTGATTTAATCTGCACTGCTAAGCTCCAGTGACCAGCCCAAGTGAATGTCCCCTCTCTGTTGAAGATCCTGCACCTTCCAAGCCTGAGGCAGGTTTGGTTGAAAGAGTTTTAGGTGTGGGTAGGGGAACAGACTGAACCTCCTACACAGCTCTGCTGCCAGGAAACCAAACCATCTCATGCCCATGGTGGGTGGTAGCAGCAGAAAAAAACAAAAATGATGAAAACCTCTTGCTCAGATTTTATAGTTCTTCCCCCAGGCCAGCTGGAGAGTTGGGATAAGGCCAGGAGGATTCTTCCCATCTCACAGAGAGAGTAACTGAGGCAACAAAAAGCATGGAGCTGGCTGGGGCGCAGTGGCTCACTCCGGTAATCCTGGTGCTTTGAGAGGCCGAGGCAGGAGGCCTGCTTGAGCCCAGGAGTTCGAGACCAACCTGGGCAACAGTGAGATCCTGTCTGTATAGCAAATAAAAATTTAGGCTGGTGTGCAGCTCTAGTCCCAGCTACTCAGGAGACTGAAGTGGGAGGATCATTTGAGCCCAGGAGGTTGAGGCTGCAGTGAGCTGTGATCACACGACTACACTCCAGCCTGAGCAGCAGAGCAAGACACCCTCAAAAAAATAAAGAAATAATACTTTTGTAGGGACCTAAACTAAAAAAAAAAAAAAAGCAGAACTTGAGCTTGTTGCTGGCCAGAGCTATGACTGGAACCCAGAAGTCCCACACTTCCCTGATGACTTCACTCCCCAGGTCTCACCAGCACACATTTGGAAAATCTCCACTTTTAGTGTGTCACCAAAAGGTGAACATTGAGAAGCCTTCAGAATCCCTCTTTCCTACCCCGCTCCCAAGTTCAGTGTTGTAGGCGGCATCCTCCCTTTCAGGAGCCAGTCCCAGTATACCTTTTTGTTTTGTTTTTGAAACAGAGTCTCACTATGTCTACCAGGCTGGTCTCAAACTCTTGTGCTCAAGTGGTCCTCCTGCCTCAGCCTCCCGAGTAGCTGGGATTACAGGTGTGAGCCACTACACCTGGCTGCCCAGTCTACCTTTCTAGCCTTTTCTCCCTCCACTCCACTTCAGCAAAACTGAATTGCCTGTCCCTAGCTGGCATGCCTGTGTGTCGTCTTTGCTGGGTTTTGGGTCACACGTTTCCTTGTGCCCTGATGTTGCCCCTGCATATTCATTCCCTGTTGGCTTGCTTCTCTACCTACCTCATTAGTCACTTCTTCTCAGTCTCCCTGGTGGATTCCTCTTTCTCTGCCTGCTCTTGAGCCCGGATGTCCCTCAGGATTCTGCCTCTGTTCCTCCGTAGGCAATCTTACATACTGACAAGGTTTTAGCTGCTGCTATTTGGTAATTCCCAAATCTCCAGAGTAGAGTTTTCTCCTAAGCTTCAAACTCAGGTATTCCCAACATTTTTATATCTCACAGACTCCTCAAGCTCAACTTCAAGCTTTTTTGAGCTTATTCTTTTAGTTTTCCCCAGTTGAACTAATGCATCACCATCTCTCAGTCACCTCTGCCAGACACCAGGAGCTCATTCTAGATTTCTTTCTCTCTTACTTCCTACATCTAGTCAATTGAGTTCTGCTGTTTTACTTCTTAAATAAGTCTTTTTTTTTTTTTTTTTTTTTGGAGATAGGTTTTTGCTCTGTTGCCCAGGCTGGAGTGCAGTGGCACCAATCACGACTCACTGTAGCCTCAAATTCCTGGGTTAAGCGATCCTCCCACTTTACCCTCCCAACTAGCTGGGATTACAGGCACACGCCACCACATCTGGCTAATTTATTTTCTATAGAGATGGAGTTTCACCATCTCTACAAATGTTTCCCAGGCTGATCTGGAATTCCTGGACTTAAGCAATCCACCCACCTGGGCCTCCCAAACACAAAGTATTTGGGATTATGGGTGTGAGCCACTGTGCCTGGCCCTAGATAAGTTTTAATCCATCCTCTCCTCTGTACCTATTGCCACTGCCCCAATTCAGGCTTGCAACACCTCTTGCATGGACTGTGGCAAGTATACAAACTGGTATCCTTCACAGCCTTGCTGGTACAACCAGTTTAAAATCTGGTTGTGGTACTCCCATGCTGCAAACTCCTCTGATTCCCAGTGGCCTGTAGAGTCATGTCCCAGCTTCTAAAACTGCCCTGGATTCTCTAGGACCTGATTCCTGGGACCTGCCTCCCTCTCCAGTCTCATCTCTTGCCACACCCTACCTCCAATTCTGTAACAGCTGCCTCTGCCATGCTGTGTAAGGTCTTTGTTCAATGCTCTTCTTTCTGCCAAGCAGCTTCCTGCCTTGCTCCATCTGGCAGACTCTTACTCATTCCATAGCACACAGCTTAGGTAGGCATCACCCCCTGCCTCGCTCAGGTGGAGTGAGTACTCCCACTGAGTGCTCTGAGTGCTCCCATGCACTTTGTGGTTTCCCCTTCCATACATTTACCATAGCATGCTGATAGATTTGTTTTTGTCTGCCTTCCCAGAGAGGCCAAGAGATCTTCAAAGGACTCTGTCGTTTTTTCTTTTTCCCTTTTTTTTTATTTTTTTATTTTTTATTGAGAGAAAGTCTCATTCTGTCACCCAGGCTGGAGTGCCAGTTGCACGATCTTGACTCACTGCAACCTCTGCCTCCCAGATTCAGGCAATTCTCCTGCCTCGGCCTCCTGAGTAGCTGGAATTACAGGTGTGCGCCACCATGCCCAGCCAATTTTTGTATTTTTAGTAAAGATGGGGTTTCACCATGCTGGCCAGGCTGGTCTTGAGCTCCTGAGCTCAAGCAGTCTGCCCACCTCTGCCTCCCAGAGTACTAGGATTACAGATGTGAGGCACAGCGCCCAGCCAGATTCTGTCTTATTCATCTTTATAGACTTGGCACTAGCCTGGGTCTGGCACATACTAGGTGCTTGTCAAATGAAGCTGCTCTTAGTTTTCCCCAACTAAAACCAACTTTGTTTCTGCGACCTCTGTGGCACCTTCTCTATGACTATTCTTCTATCTTTTCTAGTTTATGTCATAGCTCGCTCTCTCTCTAGATTTGTTTTTAAATTTTTTTTTCTCTGTATCTCTAGGTCTTTTATAAAAAACAAAAACAAACCAGGGTCTTGCTCTGTTGCCCAGGCTAGAGTGCAGTGGCATGATCATAGCTCACTACAGCCTTAAACTCCTGGGCTCAAGGGATCCTCCCGTCTAAGCCTCTCAAATAGCTAGAACTACAGATGCATGCCACTATGGCCAGTTATTTTTCATTTTTTAGTAAAGACAGGGTCTTGCTTTGTTGCCCAGGCTGGTCTTGAACTCCTGGCCTCAAGTGATCCTCCCACCTCAGCCTCCCAGTGTTGGGATTACAGGCACGAGTCACCACACCCAGCCTCTCTTTCTAGGTCTTCTGTCTCCTATTATACTGTAAGTTCCTTAAGGGCAAGGACTGGAGTTTCATTCATCTTTGAATCTGCAATAATGGACCCAGTACTTGCTTCTAGAGTGTCTGAGAGAAAGAGTTCTTAGGAAAACAGATGAAAGCACTAGCTCTGCCCCAGCTTGCTCCTAAGTCCCACTACTCCCAAACTAGCAGAGGGAGCTTTCACCCTGATGGCTACGGCCATACTCCTCAGGCTGGACCCAATTTGGGCTACAGATCATCCTTTGGAGTTGAGAAAAGCCTGGACCACTTACCTCCCAGGACCATGATCTTCTTACGGGTGTCCTCACTCAGGAAGGGTTTGATGAGGTTATAGGCCACAGGAAACAGTTTGGGGGCTGGGACAAAGACCAGATAATGTGAGGCTGGGAGCAGTGCCCAGGCTGTCCCTAACAGTGTCCTCTGTAGCACCTCCTACCCTCCCACCAGCCCATGCTGGGCCATATGTTCCCTAGGGCTCTGGAGCCCACATAAGCAGGCCAGGGTGTGGCTCAGCATGGGTATCTTTGAGCTCCAGCCATCCCATTTGTACAGTGGATATAGTACAAATGATCTCTTCCTATCTCATCAGGCTGGGTGGCTCAAAGGAGGTCATACTGAAAGCTCTGTGAGTTATAAAGTAGTCTGCATATGTGAAGGGCAGTCTTCTTTTTATTTTATTGAGACAGAGTCTTGCTCTGTCACCCAGGCTGGAGTGCAGTGGTAAAATCTAAGCTCACCGCAGACTTGAACTCCTGGGCTCAAGCAATGCTCTTGCCACAGCCTCAGTGAGCTCTCGGCTCACTGCATCCTCCACCTCCCAGGTTCAAGCAATTCTTGGGCCTCGGCCACCTGAGTAGCTGGGACTACTGGTGTGCACCACCACGCCCAGCTAATTTTCATATTTTTAGTAGAGATGGAGTTTTGCTTTGTTAGCCAGGCTGGTCTTGAACTCCTGGCCTCAAGTGGTCTGCCCATCTCGGCCTCCCAAAGTGCTGGGATTAAAGGAGTGAGCCACTATGTGCAGCCCTATTTTTGTTTTCATTTTTACTTTTTTGAGATGGAGACTTGATCTGTCACCCAGGCTGGAGTGCAGTGTGGCACGATCATAGCTCACTGTAGCCTTGAACTCCTGGGTTCAAGCAATGCTCTTGCCTCAGCCTTTTGAGAAACTGGAACTACAGGCATGCACCACCACACCCAGCTCATTTCCTTAACTTTTTTCTTTTTTGAGATGGAGTTTTGTTCTTGTTACCCAGGCTGGAGTGCAATGGCACAATCTTGGCTCACTGCAAACTCCTCCTCTTGGGTTCAGGCAATTCTTCTGCCTCAGCCTCCCAAGTAGCTGGAATTACAGGCATGTGCCACCACACCCGGCTAATTTTGTATTTTTAGTAGAGATGGGAGTTTCACCATGTTGGTCAGGCTGGTCTCAAACTCCTGACCTCAGGTCATCCGCCCACCTTGGCCTCTCAAAGTGCTGGAGTTACAGGCGTGAGCCAGCACACTAGCTGGGGCAGCAATTTTCTGAACATGTCCGTAGACCCTTCTTTTGGCTCACTGTTTGACCCTCCATCTGCCCCAGTCATATTTTTTACCCCTCTTTTCCATCTGGCTTTATCACAAGAAACTCCCAGCTTACCTTTAACAACAAAAAGACGCTTCAGTGTTTCGGGATAATTTTCCTCAAACATGCAGAGAAACTGTGGAAACAAAATCACTCGATTCCAGCAGGCTCAAACCTCCTGTCCCAGGGACAGAGGCCCTGCTTCCTCTGGACTAGAGTCTGCCCCCAAGGCCTCACTCATCCCACAGGACAGCCTAGCAGAGGGGCCCACTCCTCCTTCCCTTCCCTCTGCTCCCCTCCACCCCACTCTGCCTCTCACCTCTCCATAGGCCTCCACAGCAGGCTTCCAGAGGTGCTTGAGGCCAAGCCCCTCGCAGTCATAAATCATGGTGATGGTCTCCACCTTCTTCCCCAACTGCAGGGAACAGAGAGCAAAAAGTCTTGTCAGGCTGTCCTGCTACAGAACCCCACCCCGGTCCGGGGCAAATGACTGCACTGTGCTCCAGTAGAGCAACCAGAGCTGGTTAGGGCTGGATCTAGGGTTTTCCAAATTGAGATAATCACCCCAAGCCAGATTTGTGGCCTAGGCGAGTCACTTTTCCTGCCTAGGTCTCCGTGTTCTTTTCCAATACATGACTGGGTGGATCTAGATGACATCTGAGATGACTTTTGTTCTGCAGTTTGGCCTGATGGCTTCCTGCTTCCTGAGTCACTGTGTGCTCTGTGCATGGTACCTGTAGAGCCACTTCTGCATAGGCACAGATGTTCTGTGCAGCCTGAGCCCTCAGGGGGGTGCATCCACATCTAATGCTTCCTGCATCCCCAGCTCCCCAGGGTCTCTGCGCACAGTAGGCTCTCTGAATGTTTGCAGATGAGTGTTGGGATGTTGCCAGACTTTATCACATCATTTCACTGGATCTTTACAACTGCTGAGAAGAGGGCAGGAGGGAAGACCATGGTGGCAGCTTCTGCTTGTTCCTCAGTGTTTTTCTCAGTAAGGGAATCAGCCATCCTCATCTTTTTTGACACAGGGTCTAGCCCTGTTGCCCAGGCTGGAGTGCAGTGGTGTGATCATGGCTCACTGCAACCTCTACCTCCCAAGTGCAAGTGATCCCCCCACCTCAGCCTCCCTAGCAGCTGGTATGTGCCACTATACACAGCTAATTTTTTATTCTTATTTTTTTCTAGAGACAGGCTCTTGCCCTGTTGGCCAGGCTGGTCTTAAACTCCTGGGCTCAATCTGCCCACTCAGCCTCCCAAAGTGCTGGGATTACAGGCTGGGATTACAGGTGAGCTGCCACACCCAGCCATCCTTATCTTTTTTGGTATACAGAATTAGAGAAGCTCAGAATCTGAGATCATCTACACCGGTGATACCCAAATACTTGCTCAAGGACGGGTTAGTCCACAATAACATTTCACTGGGTCCCCAGATAAAAGAGAAAAATAACAATAAAGTGAGTTTTTTAAAGGTCTGCCTTTTTTTTTTTTTTTTTTAAGATGATGGAGTCTCACTCTGTCACCCAGGCCAGAGTGCAGTAGCATGATCTCAGCTCACTGCAACCTCCTAGGGACTGCTTTTTAATCTGAGATTATTGCCATTCTTACAGTTTTGGGTGTTAATGATGGCAATAATAGATGATCATTGTTTTAGAGGCCTTATGTGGCAAAATAGACATTTGGCAATATTCTAAAATTTGGAAATGTCATTGGTCTAGGAAATCCCAAACCCTGGGCCTCAGCTGGGTCCCCTGGCTCACGCCTATAATCCTAGCACTTTGGGAGGCTGAGGTGGGTGGATCACTTGAGGTCAGGAGTTCAAGACCAGCCTGGCCAACATGGTGAAACCCCATCTCTACTAAAAAAATTTTTTTTTTTTTTTTGAGTTTGTAAAGTCTAGGTCTTGGCCCTGAAGCTGCACTTACATTCCTGCGTGACATGCCTACTTCTGCTGGAATGCCTCTGTTGTGGTCAACTCATTTTTAGCCACAGTGGTCCACTCACCTTTGTAGTCTGGCGGGCACACTCCTGCAAAAGCAGCTCACAGTCCCGCATCTTGGTCCTGAGCAGATCCTGTTTGGAGGCTGAGAACAGCAGACCCTTGGCATCTAGAGGTCCAATTATGTCATACCAGACTGGGCAGCCGTCCAGGTCATAGCCACACATGCCCCCTGACAGATACTGTTGGATCACCTGGGCAAAGACACAGAGGAGCGGCCTGGTCAGCAGGCATCTATACCCTGCCTGGAGCACAGGGCCTTACTCCAGGTTCATCAGTATCTTTCTCTATATCCCTTCCCTGGGTACCAACAGATGCCCATTATGGAGACCACCAGGGCACAGTGAGCATTGTCAGACCTTTCCTCTGAGGATCCAAACCCAGTGGACCCAGATCCCAGGAACCAGGCTGTGGGTCTGAAAGGCCTAGCATAGGGATGAGGTAGGATAATTTGTGCTCACCTCTGGAGGCTGCCAGCTAATGATGTTGTCAATGTCCTTTTGCTTTCGGAACTCCACATGCTACAAAGACACAATGAGGAAGATTTTAAAGGAGGGTTGGACAGCTGGGCGTGGTGGTTCACGCCTGTAATCCCAGCACTTTGAGAGGCCAAAGCAGGTGGATCACTTGAGGCTGGGAGTTCGAGACCAGTCTGGCCAACATGGCAATACCCTGTCTCTACTAAAAATATGAAAATTAGCCGGCCATGGTGGCACATGCCTGTAATCCCAGCTACTCAATGGCTGAGGCATGAGCTCACTTGAACCCGGAAGGTGGAGGTTGCAGTGAGTCAATACTGTGCCACTGCTGCAGTCCAGCCTGGGTGACAGAGGGAGACTCTGTCTCCAAAAAAAAAAAAAAAAAAACAGCGATGGTGTGAGGGAGGTTTAATAGGCATGTAGCAATAAGCAACAGCACGAATGGACCACCAGATCATAGGCAGTCGCCAGAAGGCATTGGGCAGGAATGGAAAAGAAGGCCCTGTCTGTGTTAGAGGTCTTAGCAGAAGAGATTATCATTCTTGGCTGGCCCAGAGCTACGAAAGCCTATGTTGCCAGGGGAGGGAATGCAGTTTGTCCCAGAGGGATAAGACAACAGTGGTTGGCTAATACTCAAAGCCAAAAGCTGTGATCGGGGTGGGAGGTGTGGCAAAAGATGTCAACGCAAGGTGCGATTCTGAAGGGGAGGAACTGAGTGAACAGTGGGATTCAGAGCCAAATGTATCTCACCTTCCGGAGCATAGCCTCCGCCTTCTGCAGGTCGAAGCTTCTCGCTGTAACAGGGAAACATGGTCAGGGTTAGATGAACAGGATAGGGGGTCCAAGGATGGAGAGATTCCCATATTCCCATGATAGGGCCAGTTCCTCTCAGTCATCTCTCCAGCTAACCCTCAGACCACCCCACAAGCAGAAGCTAACAGGAGAGCCTTTACTGAGAACTGGGACACCACAGACCCCAGGTTTGCATGGAGAGCAGGTCAAGGTTCGGGGCACTTGGGGGTGTAAGGGTTATTGCCAAGTTCAAAATGAGGAAACTGAGGCCAGTATAAGAAAATGAAAATCCAATTTATTCAGCTCCAGGACGAGGTTCCACGGTCCCAGGGAAAGGGGCCAGGGAAGTCACGCGCGGCTTCCCAAGGCGTGGGGTTTTATAGGTAGGAGGAACGAGCAACAGCTGGGTGCTCTGATTGACTCCCGGGAGCAGGATTGAGATGGGGTGGGTTTTCTGGTGGGAGAACCGGCCAGGAGCCTTGCATCAGCTGGAGCCTTCCAGGGGAGCCCTGCGGCAGAGCTAGGTGCCGAGTGCAGAGCCTGGTGCCGGGTGCAGAGGTGGGGGTGTCCAACCTCCCGACGAGGCAACCTGCCTTACAGGGGGCAGCCATTATAACACCAGGGTCAAAAGAGCTTTACCCCAGTGGTTATAATCAAGTTAAAGGTCTCACTTCCTCTCAGCGAAAATGAACCCTGAACCCTCTTATCATTTGGCCTTCCCCCTTACACAGACAAAGTTTATCTCCTCCACATTCTCACATGCAGTCCTGAGACCTTGATACCACAGTTCAAAGATGAACATACCAGCCTGGGCAATACAGTGAGACCTCATCTCTTAAAAAAAAAAAAAAAAAAGCCACAGATGGTGGCATGCACCTGTAGTCCCAACTACTTGGGAGGCTGAGGTGGTGGGAGGATTGCTTGAGCCTGGGAGGCAGAGGTTGCGGTGAGCTGAGATCACACCACTGTACTCCAGCCTGGGTGACAGAGCAAGACCCCGTCTCAAGAAAAACAAAAAACAAGGAGGAATATAGCTGCCCCTGTCATCTGTGGCAGAGCTGGCAGAATATCCCAGTGGGACAGAGGGGTTGATGAGCCTCCAGCCAACCTTGTCATGTCCTCAAAGGGCCCACACATTCCCCTCCCAGGGCTCCTGACAAGTTTCAGAATTCAATTTCACCTGGGTCAACTCTGTATGCATGACACCCCAAAAAGTGTCCTGCTCAGGCTTGAACACAAATACCTCACTGACCCCCCCAAGGTCGCTTGCTCCCAGGTAATCATAGCTGCAATTTGCACTCAGCTGTCATGGTGCTGAACTGAGATTCATTTCAGAGGCACTCAGAGAATAGGATTGCCTCCTTAGCCACATGACAACACTTCCAAGACAGGAAAATTCTGAGCTGTCACCCTGCATTTCCCTGACCAGCATGCTGCCCATCCTCGGAGCCTGTACCAAGCCCCACAACTTGGTTTCAAGTCCATGCAAATAACTTCCCTGTGAATGTTTTCCAGGGTTCCCTCAGAGTGTGCTCTGAGAGCCACGAATATAGCCCCAGTTGCTAAGAACTTACTCTTTTTCTCTCTCTCTTTTTTTTATTTTTATTTTTTTGACTCATAGTTTCACTTCTGTCACCCAGCCTGGAGTGCAATGGCACAATCTCGACTCACTGCAGCCTCCACCTCCCGGGTTCAAGCAATTCTCCTGCCTCAGCCTCCTGAGTAGCTGGGATTACAGGCACGCGCCACCACGCCCAGCTAATTTTTGTATTTTTAGTAGAGACGGGGTTTCACCACGTTGGCCAGGCTGGTCTCAAACTCCTGACCCCAGGTAATCCACCTATCTTGGCCTCCCAAAGTGCTGGGATTACAGACATGAGCCACTATGCTCAGCCCAAAAACTTTTTTAGCAACAGGCACACTCCTAACTCAGGTGGAGCTTATAGGCACTGAAACCTCCAAATCCTTTTCACCTGTGCCACTGCTAAGCCTCCACTGCGTATGTGAAGAGGTAAGACCTTAGATCCTTCCCTGTCAAATTTCGTCTTGTCACAATCCATCCTTTAAGTTTTTGAGATCCAGATTCTGATCAATTTTGCCATCTGACCTATGAACTGTCCCTCCCAGTTGTATGTCCTCTATGGATTTGGCATCTAGATCTGCTGACAGCCCTGGAACCTGGGCCAGACAGGCTGCCCTCTGGACTGTCCCTGGTCCCTTAACCATCGCTCTCTGGGAGTGCCAAGCACATTCCCTGACACTGCTGTTATGAAAATCAGTCCCTTCTCCCAGGCTCATAGGCTGCCTCAACAGATCTGCCCAGTGCCACACCCATGGCAAGTGCTGGACACATCCTGGCAGAACTGAATCCCACCCTTCTTCATGTGTTGCCACGGCAGCATGAGACAGCTTTTAAAGGAATATCATCTGCATTTGCATCCCAGCTCTTCCACTTCTCTGTTTGACCTTAGACAAGATACTGCACGTCTCTGACCAAACTGTCTGATAAGCTAGAAACACTTGGAAGATGCAAGGCACCATCCTCTCATGATGGGGGAGTTAGTGGGACCATGACAATGAGAATCTTCTGTAGGAAGGATACCATTACTGTGAGAAGAGTCCTTATCTTCCTAGGATTGGTGGCAAACTGTGAGCCCCTTATCTTGGGGAGGCTCTTCAGTTAACCCTTATCTGCCAAGGCCCAACATCCAGGATCTTCTATGTGGGCTCTCCCAGAGTTGCCACTTGTTCCTGGCAGTACCACACTTGGGGCCTCCTGTACCTGCTTGAGGCCTCTCCAGGCTCCTGCTGCCCTGGTCAGGGGCAACTCGAAGCATGGCTTGCAGCACTGCAAGAACGCAGCTCAGGAGCAGCCGCCTGGGTGATGATTGTCCATTCATTTCCTAGACTTGTAAAATGCAGAGACTCAGACGTGCTCTGCCTCCCTCCCAGGGCCTCCTCCACTTCCTTCTTTTATCCTGCTCTCCGATCCTCCTTGTTGGGATGCCCAGAGCTCAGCCCCAGTCGGGGAGGCAGATGAGACTTGGGGACCTGCTCTCTGTGCCCGGAAGCCCGCAGAAAACTGAACCCCTCAGTGGGGAAAGAGGGAGGGAGAGGAGCCCCAAGCCCACACCTAGGTTAGGGACAGACATTCTGCTGGTGTGTGGCTTGCAGATGTCTCCGTCAGATTCAAGGAGAGAATGATAAAAGGCTGGTTGGTTGGTTGGTTGGTTTTGTTTGAGACAGAATCTTGCTCTGTCACCCAGGTTGGAATGCAGTGGCAAGACTATAGATCACTACTGGGCGCAGTGGCTGAAGCCTGTAATCCCAGCACTTTGGGAGGCTGAGGCAGGTGGATCCCGAGGTCAAGAGATCAAGACCATCCCGGTCAACATGGTGAAACCCCTTCTCTACTAAAAATACAAAAAATTAGCTGGGCATGGTGGCACGTGCCTGTAATCCCAGCTACTCGGGAGGCTGAGGCAGGAGAATTGCCTGAACCCAGGAGGCAGAGGTTGCGGTGAGCCGAGATCGCGCACGCCATTGCACTCCAGCCTGGGTAACAAGAGCGAAACTCCGTCTTAAAAAAAAAAAAAAAAGATTATAGATCACTATGGTCTCAAACTACTGGCTTAAGCAACCTCCCACCTCTGGCTCCCAAATAGCTAGGACTACAGGTGCGTCCCACCACACCCTGCTAATTTTTTTTTAAGCAGAGGCGGAGTCTTGCTATATTGCCAAGGCTGGTATTGAACTCCTGAGCTCAGGTGATCCTCCCACTTGGCCTCCCAAAGTGCTCAGATTACAGGCATGAGCCACCATGCCAGGCCTTGGGTTTTGCTGTTGTTTGGGTTTGGGTTTTTTTTTTTTTTAAGGGGAAAAAAAAACCTAATTGTAATTCATGTTAGGTTCTGACCAGGCCTGAGCTCCTGCCCAGGAAATGTGAGGCACCAGTGAAATGCAGAGGAGACACTTCCTCTGTTGTAAGAGGCTGAGCTTGGCTTTAAGGAGCAGGGGTGGCTTACTGGAAAGGATGCTGGCCCGGAGTCTGGAACCCTAGGTTTCTGCCCTGATTCTGCTACACATTAACTGTGTGACTTCAGGTAAGTCCCCTCCCCAACTCCCCTCTTTGAGCCTGTTTTCTCATCTGGCAAATGAGAATGACCCCTGAGTATGAGGCTCCCCAGGAATTGGAAGATCAGCTGCCAGGACCCCTGGCTGGCCCCTGCCTCAGTAAGAGAGAACTGCATTGCTGTTAGTGGCTCTCAGAAACCATGCTTCTCTGCCGAACAGCAGCTCCCTAGTTGTCTGGATCATTTTGCAGCTGGCCCTTAAGAAAGCTACTGTCTTCCCACTCTCTCCACCCACCTGCTTCTAGCTGCAGCCCTTCGGCAAATGCTGGGCCAAAATTTCCTCCAGCCTGGACTGATTCCACTGCCGCCCGCATGCTGTCCTTCCACCCTCTCTGGGCGGTGGGCTGGGGTAGGGGATGGGATGGAGGTATTTTTGGGGAAAGGGGCAAGTGATACTTCCAGAGGCTCCTGGATGCGTCTGCCCTCAGGTGTTTACAAGCAGCCTCTCAGGAGCATGTGTGCCAGCTCTATGAAATTTCTGGAAAGAAAAGGAATATACGTCTCTTCACCTGCCCCAAGACTCCTATGGCATGCATGTGTGTGTATGTGTCCATAAAGAAATAATGGGACCAGTCACAATGGTGTGTACCTGTAGTCCAAACTACTTGGGAGTCTGAGGTGAGAGGATCACTTGAGCCCAGGAGTTTGAGGCCAGCAAGACCCTATTTCAAAAACAAATTTTAGTAACATTTATTGCCAAGCACAGTGGCTCATGCCTGTAATCCCAGCACTTTGGGGGGCCGAGGTGGGCAGATCACCTGAGGTCAGGGGTTCGAGACCAGCCTGGCCAACATGGTGAAACCCCATCTCTACTCAAAATACAAAAATTAGCAGAGCATGGTGCAGGAGCCTGTAATCCCAGCTACTTGGGAGGGTGAGGCAGGAGAATCGCTTGAACCTGGGAGGCGGCGGTTGCAGTGAGCCGAGATCGCGCCATTGCACTCCAGCCTGGGCAACAGCGTGAGACTCTATTTTAAAAATAAATAAATAAAAATATCACTTGAGACCAGGAGTTCAAAGCAGCAGTGAGCATGATCATGCCCACTGCCTGGGAAGCAGAGTGAGACCACGTCTCAAAAAAATAATAATAATGAAAATTAAAATAATAGAGCATAATTTGTACTTTCATATTTTAGGATATGATTCTACACCACAACTTAAGCTTTGCTAGAACATAATGGAATTTTCTGACCAGGTGTAGTGGCTCACACCTATAATTCAAGCACTTTGGGAGGCTGAGGTAGGCGGATCACTTGAGATCAGGAGTTTGAGACCAGCCTGGCCAACATGGTGAAACCCTGGTCTCTAAAAAAATAAATCAATAAAGTTACTTTTTTGTTGTTCCGTTTTGAGATGGAGTCTCACTCTGTAGCCCAGGCTGGCGTGCAGTGCCACAATCTCAACTCACTGCAACCTCCACCTCCCGGGTTCAAACGATACTCCTACCTCAGCCTCTTGAGTAGCTGGGATTACAGGCACCTGCCACCACGCCTGCCTAATTTTTGTATTTTTTAGTAGACATGGAGTTTCACCATGTTGCCCAGGCTGATCTCGAAGTCCAGGCCTCAAGTGATCCACCTGCCTCCGCCTCCCAAAGTGCTGGGATTACAGGCGTGAGCCACCGTTCCTGGCCATAGTGGAATTTTCTTTATTATTCCTATGTCTGTAATTAAAGTTTCTATATAGAGGGGAAAGTGGTATCAGAAGAACCAAGGAGGGTGGCACATGACCTGAATCACAGGAGAAGGGAAGAGGCAAAAGAATGGAAGCATCTCAGGGATTGGGGAACCAGGCTGAACTTGACCCTGATGCCAGCAGAAATGTATACATTTCAGTGCCACATGCAGAGCTCTGTTATGTCATGTCTTACAGCAGACAGGTCTTTTCCTGCCCTTCCAGAGGAGGATCCTAGGGAAGTGTTTGCCCTAAACCAGGCTCCACAGCCAGGCCAGGGCAGAGCTAGAACCGGGACGTGGGCTCTAGAGCCTGGTGGTAGTCTGAGGAGACTCTTGTCACCCCAGGTCAGACTGAGCCCTTCAGGTTGCCTAAACTGCGGTCAGCAGGGACCTGCCCTCCTAATAGGGCATCTCAGGGGCGAGGAGTCTGGTTCTGCACTTCGCCCTGCTTCCGACCACCCACATGGCTATGGCCTTTCTCACTTTGTTCCTCATCCCATTTCCCCAACTCCATCAGCAGAGCAGATTTCTTGAGTGGATGGAAAAGGCGCTGGGCCAAGGGTCAGCCGACCTGGAATCTCCCCTTTTCTCTGCTGCAGCTCGCTCACTGTGTGGCTTGGAGCAAGTCACTTCATCTCTCTGAGCCTGTGTCTTTATCCACTAGGAGGGTTGAGCTTATGTCATTGCCAAGGGCCCTTTGACATTAAAGACTGAACATTCCAGATGCCTGATTGCCAGGGGCAGGGTTTTCAGAGGGTGCCATTCTGTTGCTCAGAACAAGCCCCTGCCCCAGCCTCCCGCAGCCCCTCTTCCCTCACCTCGGAGCCAACGCAGGAGAAAATAGTCATCTGGATTCGGCAAGGCCGGCAGCACGTCCTGGACATTCTCCCGAAACTGTAGGGAGAGGCATCCAGGTGAGTGGTAGGGCCCACCCTGACTGCCCTCTGCCCAGGACTCTCCACTGGGGTCTTTGCTGGATCTCTCTTGAACGTGGCTGAACTCTGCAGACACTACTTGGGCACTCATGCTGCCTGGAGCACTCTCTTGCCGGGGGTGCCAGGTAACAGGGCAGGAAGTGGGAAGGGAGTGAGACACTGCCCCTGCCCCACAACAAAGGTTCCCACATGCCAGTCTGGGTCAGGCAGATGTGTCCCCAGCTCATCGTGATAGTAGGCACTCTGGCATCGACCACAGTAAAAGCTTTCAGTTTACCAAGTATTCCCTGTCACCCAGCGCTGATCTTGGCAACAACTTATTTACTCCTCATAACCCCTAGAAGTATTATTGTCCCCATTCTACAGATGAAGGAATTAAAGCTCAGAGAGGCTAAGTAACATGCTCAAGGTCAAACAGCTAGTCATTAGCAGAGCTGGGATGCAAAGTGGGGTCTGTCTGAATCCGGAGCACACGCTCTTTCCACCATGGTCTTCTGCCCGGTGGAATGGTGAGGGGTTTACTGGGGAGCAGAGGGAAGAAAAAGGTGGTCTCATGCACTTCCTATAAAGCATGGCATTTGTGCTGGCCTTGAAGGACCAGTGGGGGGAATCAGGAAGGTGCAGGTAGTGCCAAACAAAAGAGGTGGACAGTGACCTCAAGGGATAGCCACACCCATCTCCAACCTCTCACTCCCTGGTAGGTGAGCAGGCCCCCATATGCCCTCCCTGAGCCTCCTGCTCCCAGCCACTCACCCTTCCCTGGCCACTGACCTACAGGGCAGTCCCAGAGGAGACCAATGAGGACTGGCCACCTCTGCCCTTGCCTAGGTCTGCCAGGGACTCAGACCATCCCACCCCCCAGAGTAGTTCCCAGTACTCCAGGGAAACTTCCTCCAAACTGCAGGCTTGAAGCTACCCCTGTCCAAGGACCCTAACCAGCCCCTGGTCTCCAGTTTAATCACCACCTAATCCCTTCTCTGCCTGACCTCTCCTGCGGGTCAGCAGTAAAATCTGAAGCCTCCCTGTCCAGCCTTCCTGGGATCGGGGAGGCCCAGCCTGGGACAAAGCCTTCATGGAGCTGGTGCCCTCTTACTTCCCCAGTGGCAGGAGACATCTACCTCCCCAGCCGCACCTTTCCCAGCCATGGAAAACTGCCCAGCTGTGGAGCCTCCAAACCTTGGGGCCAGACCCAGTTGGCTCTTATCCAGAGAAGAGTTGAATTCCTCACTCCCCAGGGTGACAGAAAAGAGATTTAGTAGATGAAGAGGAGGGTTCAGCCCTCAAACTATTGCTCCCTCCTTGTCCAAGGTGCCAAGGCAAAGCCAAGCTCACCTTCTTGCCTTCTGAGGAACATAAACCTAAGTCCTGAGCCAGGAAGGGGTCTGGGATGCCAGATCGGGGACGCCTGGTCTCAGCTCAAACTAACTCCGACCCAGTGGTCATGGGGGGAACCTGGAATTCACACATGGAGGTGTTCCCTTCAACGTCATCTGGTCCAAACTCCTCATTCCATGGCATCAAGGTGCAAAGAGAAGGACAGGGTTTTGCCCAAGGTCGCACAGCGGCTTGGTGTGGGGGCAGGAGCTATCCAAGTCTCCCAAGGAGCTATCCAGGTCCCTTTCCATCGTGCCACTGCCCCGGCAAGAGGAAAGCCTCCCGGAAATGGGAGGAAACTTGGGGCCCTGCCTCTGCCCCTGCCCCAGGGCCCGGCTGCCAGTCCCGAGGATGAATGTTGCCTTTGTGCCCTCAGCGGCCTCCAGGGACAACCAAGCCGCCACTTCTTCCCAGGTGGCACTGCCACGGCTGCTGGGGGCTCGGGCGGGGGGTGGCCAAACTTCCTGGGACCCTGAGGGTGGCAGAGGGAGGAAGGAGCCGTCCATGGGCGCGCGCCACGCTGGGGCGGCCGCCTCTGCTCCCCCAGCCGCCCGCCACGGACCCTCGGCCCCAACCCAGCCTCGTCCCTTCTCGCTGCCGCAGGAGGACGAGGGCCACAGCCCCGGGAGGGAGCCCGGGCCAGAGCGAGGGCTCACCTTGGCCAATGCCTCCTTCTGCTTGGGGCTCAGATCGCCAACTCTGCCGCTCATCGTGGCTCAACCGCTGGGATGGGGTTTTGGGGCGGGAGGCAGCGGCTGCGGCAGCTGATGGAGAACAGACTCGTCCTCGCCGCCACCGGCCACCCGGAGTAAAGTCCCAGCCTTTTGCCCGGGCCGTGGAGCCGGCAGTCAAGCCCCGCCTCTTAAAGGATCCCGAGGGGCGGGGTAGGGAGCGATGCGCTCGGGCGCGAGAGGCTCTGACGCCGCCCCCTCCGCTCTCCTGAAGTCAGAGACCCGGGCAGGAGGTGAGCAAGTGTGCCCACCGGGCCTGAGGCCAGTGGACATCAGAAGGTCAGGGAGTCCCGATTTTAGTTCCAAATTTACCCTTAGCTCAATGTGTGACCTTGGGCGAGACACCTGAGCTCTCTGGGCCTCTGAACAAGGAGGGATTGAAAGGTGCTACCTAATGAGTTCTTCTAACCTGGCTCCCATAGTGGGGGACCGCTTCCCTCTCTCCCCGCAAGGAATAGAAAGCTTGCCAGGTGCTGCTGTGAGAGGCGATGTTCCCTAAGCCCAGCCATCGCCATCTCTGGGAACGGTGGCATTGATTGACTATTCCTCTCTGAGATCCTGGCCCACCTCCTGTCCTGCCCTCAGTGTGTGACCACTCCTGCTAGACCCAGCGTGGGGCCTGTCAGTATTGACAGCCTTTCTTCTCCACTTGTGGGCAGGCAGGATGAAGAACGGCACCAGACCTGGGGGGCAAAGAAGCACAGACCCTGTCTCCCCACCCCAGCCCCTGTCATCTGCCTCTGACCTCCCCTGCTTTCTGAGAGGCACTCCTAACATGCTCACACCTCAGCTAGCCTATGTCAACCCAGCAAGCCACTTTGCTCCTTGGAATCCCAGCATCTTTATTCACTAAAAAGGAGCAATGGTCCGGACTTGAAGTCAGCAGGATGCTGAAGTGCTGAAGCAAGCTGATGTACTTAATTCACTGAGGGCAAGAGCTAGCACAGGGCTCGCTCTTTGCAACCACTTCCTAGTTTGCTCTGTGCCACCTCCCTTTGCTGCCTGCCTGGCCAGGCAGGCTTCGGCCTGTGGGTGGGAACAGAGGGGACCAGGAGGAAGCCACCAGTGAAAGCAATGCCCAGTGGAAGGAGGCCTGCTGTCAGCCTATCTGCTTCCCCAGCTCTTACCCAAGGGCCAGAGCTGTGAGTTCCCAGGTAAATGCAAGTCTGACTTTTGGGATGGACGCCCAGCAGCCTCCTGTCTGGCCTGTGCCATCTGATTGCCCAGCCACAAACCCAATCACTGCGCCTTCCCCATACAGTGAAGACATTTCCTCCTTTCAGAACTAAACAGCCTTCCCCTCTGCTGCCTCTGACTCTTGGCACTTTAATCTACCGCCACTGTAGCACATGGTCACATGTCTTGGGCTGTTCTTTCCGCCTTCTGTGTAGCAGGTTGTACACACTGTTCTGGGACCCAGAAATGTATCAGACACCACCCTGCCCTCCCAAAGATAAGAAACAGGCACTATCTACTGGAATATGAGGGCAAGGTAAATGGCCTGAGGAGAGGTAGCAAGTATCTGGTGCTTTAAAAGGGAAGAATTTGGCTGGGCATGGTGGTTCACACCCATAATCTCAGCACTTTGGGAGGCCGAGGTGGGTGGATCACGAGGTCAAGAGTTCAAGAGCAGCCTGATCAATATGGTGAAACCCCCGTCTCTACTAAAAACACAAAAATTAGCCAGGTGTGGTGGCACATGCCTGTAGTCCCAGCTACTTGGGAGGCTGGGGCAGAAGAATCGCTTGAACCCAGGTGGCAGAGGTTGCAGTGAGCCAAGATCGGGCCACTGCACTTCAGCCTGGGTGACAGAGCAAGACTCCATCTCAAAAAAGAAAATAAGAGGAGAGAATTTGCCTTGGTTTGGAAGAATTCTAGAAGGCTTCACAGAGGAAGTGGCATTGGAGCTGGGACACAGAAGGAAGACTCATTCATTCCAGGCCAGCACAAGGGTATGAGCAAAGCTTTGGTAGATGGTGGTAAGTATGGTTGCAGCAAGAGAGGTGAAGAGAGGCAGAGTGGGCAGAGAGGACCCGCAGAGCCTTGATGCAGCCCTGCTTAGTAGCATCTGCCCTGCTAGACCATGAGGTCCTCGGGCCTAGGGCCCTGTTTTACTCACCTCTAAATCTCCCCAACTCTCCTACCCCCAGCACAGCATCCTGCACACAGGGATTGTTTTGTTTTCATTTTTGTTTTTTTGAAACAGAGACTTGCTCTGTCACCCAGGCTGGAGTGTAGTGGTACGATCTCAGCTCACTGCAACCTCCGCCTCCCGGGTTCAAGCAATTCTCCTGCCTCAGCCTCCTGAGTAGCCGGGATTACGGGTGCATGCCACCATGTCCAGCTAGTTTCTATATTTTTAGTAGAGACACAGGTTTCACCATGTTGGCCAGGCTGGTTTTAAACTCCTGACCTCAAGTGATCCTCCTGCCTCAACCTCTCAAAATGCTGGGATTACAGATATGAGTCATGGCATCAGGTCCACAGGAATTGTTAATAAATGTATGCTGGCCGGGTGCAGTAGCTCACGCCTGTAATCCCAGCACTTTGGGAAGCTGAAGCCAGTGGATCACGAGGTCAAGAGATCGAGACCATCCTGGTCAACATGGTGAAACCCCGTCTCTCCTAAAAATACAAAAAATTAGCTGGGCATGGTGGCGTGTGCCCGTAATCCCAGCTACTCAGGAGGCTGAGGCAGGAGAATTGCCTGAACCCAGGAGGCAGAGGTTGTGGTGAGCCGAGATCGCGCCATTGCACTCCAGCCTGGGTAACAAGAGGGTAACTCCGTCTCAAAAAATAATAAATAAATAAATAAATAAATGTATGCTGAATTAACTAATTAATTAATTAAAGAAATGCTCCAATAGAGACACAGATCCCGGTGCTGGCAGAACCCTGGGAGGGAGACAGAAACATAGATCATTCAGGGATCATGCAACTTATCTCAATTAACAGCTAGGGAAACTGAGGCCCAGAGAAGGCATGGCTTGCCCAGAGTTGTTAGTGGGATGACAGACATGGAGTGCCCACTGCCTGGCACCTGGAAGGTGCTCAGCTGTGCCCTCCCCTCGTGGCCTGGAATTAATGCAGAGCTAGGCCCAGGAGTCTGTGGGCACCTCGTCTCCCAGAACCATCCCCTGGCTGCCTCAACACTCAAGTCTCCAGGAGAGAGAAAGTAGAATGCCCCCAGTCTCTCTCCTTACCCAGAGGTGAAGGCATCAGGCCTGTTAAAGACACTTAAGGTCTTTGCTCTGCCCCTAGTGTGGCCCTCACCATAGAAGTCTGCTGCAGGGTGCATCGTGAGGGTTGAGACCCCCAGCCCCCACCTCTGCAGAGAGTTTTCAGGCAGTTCTGCCCTAATTAGGCTCGCTGGCTTCTGGCCTGGGGCAGGACAGGACTGCTTTCCTTACTGGATACATGGCTAAGATCTTTATATAAGACCCTTCCAGGGCCAGGATGTTCTTTCCAGGGTACAGGCTACTCAAAGGAAACTATTATAAAAGAACAGCATCTTGGCCGGGCGTGGTGGCTCACGCCTGTAATCCCAACACTTTGGGAGGCCGAGGCGGGCAGATCACTTGAGGTCAGGAGTTCGAAAACAGCCTCGCCAACATGGTGAAACCCTGTCTCTACTAAAAATACAAAAATTAGCCAGGCGTGGTGGCACACACCTGTAATCCTAGCTACTCAGGAGGCTGAGGCAGGAGAATCTTTTGAACCCAGGAGGTGGAGGATGCAGTGAGCCAAGATCACGCCATTGCACTCCAGCCTGGGCAACAAAGCAAGACTTCCTCTCAAAAAAAAAAAAAAAAAGAAAGAAAGAAAAAAACCACAGCCTCTTATATTGGTTCAGCAATGTACAGTTTACAAGGTACTTTCAGATCTAGCTTGTCACTTAAGTGTGGGACAGTCCTCTAAGGTAGGCAGGTCAGGTAACTTATTGAGGAGCCTGAGGGAGAGAGGTGGTCATAGGTGAGCACATGCTGAGTTAGGACTTAAACCCAGCTCTGGCCAAGGTGTGGACAGGCCTGGGAACTGCCTGCAGAAGTTATCCAGGAAAGTACAGGGCCACCTTCACCAAGCAGGATGCTGAAGTTACCCAAATGAAAACCTCAGTAAAAAACCCATCCCTGGGCCTGCCCCTCTCAGGTTCAACAGCTGCCTCTTTCTTCTTCCTCCACTGAGACTTAACCTATCTCTGGCCCACTGTAAAACAGCTGGTTGATTTGATCATATAAATCCTAAATAGGCCCTGGCTCAGTAGCTCATGCCTGTAATCCCAGCACTTTGGGAGGCCAAGTTGGGCTGATCACCTGAGGTCAGGAGTTGAAGACCAGCCTGGCCGACATGATCAACCCTGTCTCTACTAAACATACACAAAAAAAAGAAAGAAAGAAAGAAAGAAAACAGATATCCAGGCAAGGTGGCGCATACCTGTAGTCTCAGCTACTTGGGAGGCTGAGGCAGGAGAATCACTTGAACCAAGGAGGTGGAAGTTGCAGTGAGCCGAGATCATGCCATTGCATTCCAGCCTAGTTGACAAGAGTGAGACTCTGTCTCAAATTTAATAATAATAATAATAATAATAAATAACCTGGTGAAGTCGTTGGCGCTGGCTACTGAGAGAGCGCTCCTCCATCGCATCCCCACTTTTTCTCCGTCTCCCAATCCCTGCCCTGCAGTTCTTCTTCCCTACTAGGTATGTTGCCCTCCTGCTCAAGACTCTTCAATGGCTCCCCGGTTCCTTCCTGAGTCAGCTCAATTCCACTGATCCGCATCTGAGGTCTACCCGACCCCATCCCAGCATTCCCTGTGGCACCGACGACCACTCGCCTCCTCCACGCTTCATTTCCGTCCAAGAAGCTTCCCGCTGTCCCTAAGACACACCTCTGCCCTCCTGCCTCTGTGAGAGTTGCTGCTGTGTCCCGTATCCTCCTGCCAGGTCTTCCCTAGCCCTCAAGGCTCTGAACAAATACTGTTTCCAGGAGCCTCTCCCTGAGCTACCCAATGCAACACGACCTCTGCCAACCAGAAGCCCCCTTTCCTGGCCTTGATGTGGACTACTATGCATGGTGGTGGCAATGATCAGGGAGCAGTGTGGCCCAATGGGAAGAACCAGGCCTCCCGGGTCAGGCAGGCTGGAGGGGAGGGCCTGCTGCGATGGCTGTGTTGCTCCAGGTACACCTTGCTGGGGACTTTGGTTGGGGGAACACAGAGTGTGAACAACTTAAAGAAGGCTGGTGGT